CTAAGACACATGTTAATGCATTTGTCATTATGAACACGTTGATTTGACTATACATGGACTTGTTTACAGGGCCGTCCCTGGGGGAGGGCGACACGGGCGCACGCCCAGGGCCCAAAAAAATATCAGGGGCCCAAAAAATTTCTTTTAAATACAATAGTAGTCTAAAATAATTTAATAAATTAAAAAAAACCCAAAAAATTGTAGTATACAATAAGGGGCAAAAAGAATTAGTAGATAATAAGTGCCCAAAAATATATCAACTAATGGAAAACATTTATTGAATTTTTTTTCGTACTTACCGAGGGTCACTACAAAAAAAGTGAGCATTGACGATTCACTTTTTAGCGACATGTTTCCGCCACAAGTTATAGCGACGACATGTTGTTATATACTTTTTCTAATGATAAATGGACTTTTAGCGACGACAAAAGTCGTTGCTAAAAGCCTTGTTTCTTGTCGTGGGCCCTGCTTTTACGTTCGCCCATGGCCTAAAAAATGTCAGGAACGGGCCTGCTTGTTTATGCACGATTTTATCATGAACATGTTGATTTGACTATACATGGACTCTTTATGCACAATTCTACCATGAACTTGATGATATTAAACGTTTTTATACACCAATTCACACACATATTGTGCACAATACTACTTGCTAATTTAATCTTTACTAAGAGTATATAAGGAGGTTCACCTGCGACTAGTGATGGCTAAAAATCTAGTCCCAGGCCAGAACAGTGATGGTCATAACCGGTCCCGGTCAAAAATCTTGAGCCCGTTTAACTTGAGTCATAACCGATCCTTACCGGGAAAAAATTATAATTTAAAAAAAAAAATTAATGGTGGATTTTTTGAATACATTATAAAATTTGTGATTGAGTCACTCAAAATACACTTTAAAAATACGTTTTATTATAATTAAAATTACATTCAAATATCCAATTATTTGAAAATACACTTATTCATCATCCAAGAATCAATTACCACACGAATTAATTAACCCATGAATTAAATCAATTGCATCCTAAATTAGTGGGATTGGTCGAATAAGTAGACTCGTGTCAATCAAATGAGTCTAATAGCGTTGTCAATGTAAATTGTGTCTAGATACGTGTTTAGGCAGGAAAACACTGAATTCGGCTCACCAAAAGTTGATACGTGTCATGCAGTTACTTATTTAATGTAAGTATGTAAATGAAGCGAGTAAACTTATCTGATAATATTTCATAATCAATCATGTTCATATATTAATCTTAGTAAGTGTTTACCGGCAAAAGTTATCATCCTCATTTACCTTATCTGGTACATTCTTGGTTATTAAAATGGACTGCGAAAACATTTAGGGGGTGTTTGGTTTATGGAATTTGGTGGAATTGGAAGAAACTGAAATGTCCAAATCTTTGATCAAATTCCAAATACCATGTTTGATTCACAGAATAGATGTGAAGGAATCCTTCCAATTCCAACAAATTCTTTAAGTCACCAATTTCACAATTTCACCACATATATCACGTATTTCAAATTCTCATCCGACAAATTCCTTAGCCCTCATCCAAATTCATCGATGTTGTATCTCAATTTGCTCTGCTCTCCTTTGCTCGATCTCGTTTAAAAATTGGAATGACAACGGGCCGGTTATTGGTATCCCCGTCCCCGAAATCAATAACTAAAATCGTCCATGTGACTGCCCCGATTCCCGTCGGGGATCTTATCGGGAATCCCCATCGGGTCCCCGCGGTTTCCCCGATCCCCGTTGGGGATCCCGTTAAGGTAAAAATTCTCTTTTTCCCGTTCACCGTTGGTTATAACCGAAACCCGAAACCGATCTAAAAAATTACAATATGTTAATTTTCACAATTAAAAGTAAATTACAATTTTTTTAAAGATGCAAGTTTAAATGTCTCAAACATAATCGAACCAATTACAAACAATGTATTATATTACAATATAAAACTAAACAGAACTTTAAACATTATATAACTAAAATCATGATTTCACAGACAAATAAACTAGACTTTTTCGTGAGCCTTATTTGGGTTGTTGAAGTAAAATGGATAAAAGTTTTTTAAATTTTAATGTTACTATTTTCTTTTAATGATACTATATATATATGTATATGTATATATATATATATATATATATATAAATTAAAATTAATATATATACACATATCAAGCCACAATTCCGTTAAGAATTTCATTCTAATTCCATCAAACCAAACACAATCAAAATGCATGATCAAATTCCATCATATTCCGTCAAAGTCAAATTCATTTGATAAATTTCAATTCCATCGAATTTTATTCTACAAACCAAACGTCCGCTTAATATTTGATAAGCGTTTACCAAATTATATTTCTTAACGGATAAGATTTTCAATTATTATGATATCTATCACTAAAATAATTTACACTCAATAAACACTTATCCAATAATAATTGTGATAAATAACACCTATATCTATATCTACCAGTGAGGGATGAATCTGAATCTAATGGCTAAGAAATGATAGTGGAGTCCCAAGGGTATTATCGTCTAACAGATGCTTTTTATTTATCGTTGATTCCTTGACTAGAATTCTGCTAAACTTTAAAAAATTTAAATTAAAAGAAAAAGAATATAAATAAAATAAAATAAAAAGATAAAAAATTAATTAAAATTAAAATCAGCCTAAAAGGTGGAGGTGCTGCGAGCCAACCTATATAAATGCCCCCCCTATATAAACCACCATCAACTCCCATGCAATTCTCGCCCATTTCACATTCCTGAATCCTTCTCTCATCTCTCCTTCTCTCTCTAGACTCGCCGCCGTTAGGTTTCCGTCGATTGATCCAGTTCTCCGATTTCAAAATCTGCATGGTTGAATCAGTGCATATGCACTAGATTTGATCTGTTGTTAGGTTTTGAAACTCGGATATTTCTTTACATTTGTTAATTTCTTCTTCTGAGCGGTAGTTGTGGGGATATCGGCGTTGAGAAGAAGCGTAGGGTTTGTTTCTCCTTTGATTCATATCTCCTTCTGCTTCTTTTGAGGGGGTAGCCGGGGCTCCGGCCTCGGCGGGTTGTAAAGCCCCCTACCTTTACAAACTGTGCAAAATTCAACCCTTGTAATTCTTTGATTCTTTCATTTTAACCCCTTACAAGCAGATCGGGGAAGAGATGCCGGCCCTAGCGTTTTGTGTTGACGCCGCCATGGCCGCTCTTTCTCCTCCGCCCGGCTACACCGCCTGGGATAGCTCTCTTCCCGCGCCGGCGCCATTCTCCGGCGTACCTCCATTGACAGA